TGAAAATGTAACTCAAAATTCAAAAATATTCTCAAAATCCAAAATACTCAATTACAATGTAATCGGAAGTAGTATTCGAATTTTTTCAAACAATATACCTACAATTGACACGTCAGAAATTTTCTTCATATTGTCACATTTTCAAACTTCAAGAGACAAGAACAAGAGTTCTTTCACGTAATTTTACCATTTGTATATAAAAAGCCCTACCTACCCGCTTCTTACATTTAATTTCAAATGTCACATACCCGTGCAATATTAACAGTGGTTAATTTAATAAAAAGAAAAAAAAACGTGAAGAAACCCGCCATTTAGAGCCATTAAAACCTCGGCATGCTTGAGTTCAAATACACTTTGACAAAGTCACGAACTGAAACATGAGAGCAATGTATATTTCCCCCCAATTGCAAATAACACAAACTAGAGTAGAAACTCTTTAAAAAATCATTTGTTGTATGTTCTGAACTTAAAGAGTTCACGATTCTGCACAAGCCTCTAAAGCTGAGGGAATGTGAATTTCATGTAAATATTTTTTTTTAATAAAAAAAACGAAAAATGTAAACAGAACCTTTCATAAAATGTTTCATATGGTTTTATTGGATATTTTAGCGTCTTTTTTGCAGGTATTAAAATTCACCAACATATACACACACACTCACACACATACACGGGCAACAGGATTAATTTCGCACCTCTTTTTCTTGTTATTGTTGTTATAACCCAAAGGGTTTAAACTCGTTATATTCCCACTTTGTTGTTGTTGTTGTTGTTGGATTATTGTTGTTTGCAAAACCTGCTGCTGTTTGATATTCTTCTGCTTCCTCTTCTGTTTTGTGAAATAATCCTTGTTTTGAAAATTGGCTGAATATTGCTATTTGTTTCAATTTTATGTTTGCTCTTGTTATTGTTATTATTTTTTTTTTTTGGTTTTTCTCTTTCGAAGGGATTTATGATTTACGTTTTATTTGTTATTTGCTGAGATATGGACACGTGTTATACAATCGATTTTATATTGGCGATATTTTTTTCGTTTTTTCTTTCACTTTTGTTTCGTATCTAATGCCTACCGGAAGACACTCATACACACATAAATGAACGCACACAAAATTCGTTTAAATTGCTTGAAATTTCTTCTCTTTTTTTTTGGTCGGGAATGCACAAAAAACAATAACTGAACAAATATTTTTGTATTTGTTTTGTGTTTTTTTTTCAGATTGACTTCAGGCTATGTATTTAAAATCTTTGTCGGAAATTCGTAACGATTTTCGTTTGATTTGTGAGTAAATATATTTTTCCTGAAAAGATATTAATGTTTTAAAAAAGGATTTGAATGGCAGCAAGGATCGTTTAATACCCCAAATGCTACAAAGGATGCTTTTTATATTTTTCGTGACCAACACTACCGAGTTGTGGAAAATTGCAAAGGGTTTTGACTCTATATGTCAATAGTTTAAAAAAGTATACTATTTAAACTTATCTCAAGACTCTTAAGGAATATTTTGGTCAAACCTCTCATCTCAATTTTCGTTATTGTGCCCAACGCCACTCTGCGGTACTAGACCTTTGAACTATAAAATTGAAAGCCCATCTACGTTTTGTAAAGGCCCGTATATAACGGAACCGCCTTTTTCGGTATTTTATATGTCAACGCCACATTTACCAAAGAAAGTGTGTAATTTAATATCTTAATTTCCCAGCAAACATTTCGTTACGGAAAATTGTCGATTTTCTTTGGTTGATGTTTATACCCTCCACCATTTTACTCCTCGAAATACTCATGTCAGACCCTACAAAGCATATATATATTCTTGATCAGCGTAAGTCGGTTTAGCGATGTTCATATGTCTGTTGTAGTCACGCTATCTTTCGAACTTTTTCCCAGCAAACATTTTGTTACGGAAAATGTTCGATTTTCTTTGGATGATTTTTATACCCTCCACCATTCTATGGGGGGCGGTATATTAACTTTGTCATTCCGTTTATAACTCCTCGAAATACTCATGTTAGACCCTACAAAGTATATAGATATTCTTTATCAGCCTAAGTCGATTTAGCGATGTTCACCTGTCTATTGTAATCACACTATCTTTCGAACTTTTTCCCAGCAAAAATTTTGATACGGAAAATTTTCGATTTTCTTTGGATGATTTTTATACCCTCCACCATTCTATGGGGGGCGGTATATTAACTTTGTCATTCCGTTTATAACTCCTCGCAATACTCATGTCAGACCCTACAAAGTATATATATTCTTGATCAGCCTAAGTCGATTTAGCGATGATCACCTGTTTGTTGTAACCACGATATCTTTCGAACGAATTGAGATAGAAGACTAAAATTTTGCACACATGTGTATTTTGCCAGTAGGCAGGTTAAGTTCGTAAATGGGCCATGTCCGTTAAAGTTTTCATGTAGCCCCCACATAACGGAACCTCTCTATATTCGGTATTTTGATGATTTTAGCGACACTTTTTACCGAAATTAATTCAAATTTCGCATTTAAAGTTCGTAATAGGTACTACAGCCTATGAGAAAAAATCGCAGGTCCACATCTTTGTATAGCCCCCATATATTCGGTTGATTTTACCGACACTTTTTTCGTAGTTAAAGTTCGTAATGGATACTACAGAAAATAGCCTATGCTGGTCCACGTCTTCGTATAGCCCCCATATAACGGTACTTTCCGATATTTTCATGATTTTAGCGACGTTATTCACCGGAATTGTTTCAAATTTGGTATTTAAAGTTCGTAATGGATACTACAGCCTATGACATAAAATTGTCTGTGCAGGTCCACGTCTTCGTATATACCCCATTTAACGGTACCTCCCGATATTCGGTATTTTGATTATTTTAGCAACATTATTCACCGGAATCGTTTCAAATTTCTTACAGGAAGATCCTAATGGGTACTACAATCTATGGCAAAAAATTTTGTATGCAGGTTCAGATCTTCGTATAGCCCCCATATAACGGTACATCCAGAAATTCGATATTTTCATGATTTTAGCGACATTATTTACGGGAATTGTTTTAAATTTCGCATTTGAATTTCGTCACGGATACTACAGCCTAAGACAGAAAATTGTCTGTGCAGGTCCACGTCTTTGTATATCCCCCAAATAACGGTACCTCCCGATATTCGGTATTTTGATTATTTTAGCGACATTATTCACCGGAATCGTTTCAAATTTCGTACTAGAAGATACTAATGGGTACTACAACCTATGGCAATTGTCTATGCAGGTCCACGTCGTCGTATATCCCCTATATAACGGTACCTCCTGATATTCGATATTTTCATGATTTGCAGGTCCATGTCTTCTTATAGTCCCCCATATAAGGGTACCTCCAGATAGTCGGTATTTTGATGATTTCAGCAACATAGTTCACCGGAGTCGTTTCAAATTTCGTATTGGAAGATCTTAATGGGTACTACAACTTATGTCAAAAAAGCGTATGCAGGCCCACATCTTCGTATATCCCCCATATAACGGTACCTGCCGATATTCGGCATTTTCATGATTTTAGCGACATTATTTACCGGAATTATTTTGAATTTCGTATTTGAAGTTCGTCATGAATACTACAGCCTAAGACAGAAAATTTTCTGTGCAGGTCCACGTCTTCGTATAGCCCTCATATAACGGTGCCTCCCGATATTCGGTATTTTGATTATTTTAGCGACATTATTCACCGGAATCGTTTCAAATTTCGTACTGGAAGATCCTAATGGGTACTACAACTTATAGCAAATAAATTCGTATGCAGTCCCACATCTTCGTATAGCCTTCATATGACTATACCCCCTGGTACTCCGTATTTTCATGATTTTTTGCGACATTATTCACCGCCAATTATAACAAATTTCGTATTTGAAATTCATAATGGGCACTACAGCCTATGACAAAAAATTTCGTTGCAGGTCCACGTCTTCGTACAGTCCCCATATAACGGTTTTAATTAAGGTGGTAAATTAAATTTTTTATTTTAAAATCTTCAATTTCCTTCGAAATGGTGGAGGGTATTAAAAGTTCGGCCCGGCCGAACTTGGCTGCTTTTTCGTAGTTTTTTTTTTTTTTTTTTTTTTGTAATTTTTGTTAATTTAATTTTTTTTTTTGATTTTTGTTTCTTTAATTAATTTTTTTAATTTTTGTTTTTGTTTTTTTATTAATTTTTGTATGTTTTCTTGTATATTTTTCATTTTTTAATTTAGGGTTTTTGATGTATTTTTTTATTTTTAATTCATTAATTTATACTAATTTTTTGTTTAATCAATTTTTAAATTTTGTTTTATTTTCTGCCCATGTTTCATAAATTGTTTCCTATCTCTCCACTATACACTTGTTTTATTATATTTTCTATACCCCTATCTGTGCTCAGTTGTATATAGTATAGCTTTGGGGAATACTCTTCGTGGATGGGGAAGGAATTCTATTAAATTTTTTAATTTAAGCGAAAAGATTTTCTGATTTTTTCATCGTTATTTTTTAATATTTTGTTTTAAATTTATATAAAAAAATTGTTTAATTTATGATTTTTTTTTTCTTTATTAAATTTTTTCATTCATTGTATTAATTTGAGGCCGTTTTTTATAGGTGGTTATTTTTAAATTTTCTGATTGCATTATTTTTGTGATTTTTTAAATGATATTTTTTATTATTTAAAATTTTATGTACAAATATGTATATTAAATTTAATTTTCAAGTTTAATTTTTTCTTGCAAATATTTTGTTCACAACAAGTGTTTGGTTGTTTTTTCCAACAACGCCTCCGAAATTGGCAATTATCAAATCAATTCATTTTTATAACGTATTGAGCTTTTTGACCATACACATTATTTTCCGGACATTCGCAAATTCGCATACACAAATAAAGTAAAATTGAATTGAAATGAAAAAAACGCAGACACACGCACACACACATACAGAGACATTTAAAGTTTTCACACACACTCTTTAAATGGGAATAGCAAAAATTCAAACAGAAAACGCGCGTACCTGTTCTGTTGCGAGACTGGTGTTGTGACACCTGCAAACTCCGAATTACAACTGATGTTGGTAGTGTTGGCCATGGCAGTGGTTGTCGTGAGCGTTGACGTTGTGGGCGACTGCAGTTCGTCGGCGGCAGCAACAGCAGAAGTAGCCACATTATCTTCCCCCTTGGTGTTGGTGGCATTGTTGCTTTGCCTTAGTGTTGATGTTGTTGTTGAGGCTTCAGTATCTGGCTCAGCTTCATCTTCGGCTGACTTCTCTGTCAACGCATTGTCAATGGTTTGTTTACTTAAAGTTTCAGCAGCAGCAGTAGTAACTGCTTCCGCAGCACCATCGTTGGCATCACCATCTTTCTCTTGTGGTCCAGCTTCGTCGGCCGCCGCAGCAGCAGCAGCATCCGAAATACCATCCACTTTGGTTTCAGCAACATGTTGCTGCTCATCATGTTTCGAATCTTTGTTACCATCCACAGCTTCGGCCTCATGCTGCAGTGCCGTTATGGCTTGGGAAATTTCTTTGATTTCCTGTAAAATATCATTTCTTTCAAAATTGTCCTGTTTATGCTCAGCTTCTTCCCTCCTCTCCTCCAGCTGGACATTTTCCAATGCCTTTTCCAATTCTTCCCTAAATTTACTTTCTTTCAATTTGCGTTTTTCCTCTTTGCGTGTGTCACGTTTTGTCATTTCCCCAGCCCCGCCGACCGGTACCATCAACTGTTGGCCCCCATGTGCGGGGGCTTGTTGTTTGGATTTCATTTCATCTGAGCATGCGATGTCACGCTCTTTTTTCGCCGTTGTAATGGCAGCTTTTTTTGTTGTTGTCGTCCTACCAAAACCCGTCTCCCGGGTGGTTGTGGTCGTTATTGTTGTCGTAGTCATGTTCTCGCTCTCCGTCACCGTCTCGTTGGTGTAGATGATTTTTGTTTTTATTTCGGGTTTTGTTTTGGTCGCTCTTTCTTTGCTATTACTACTGCCACTTGTGCTGGTTTTACGTTTGCCAGCACGTGTTGGCGGCTGGCCAGCCAGGCCGATGTGTAGAGTGGGCGGCTTGAGGGTCTGTGGCGACGCTGTTGAGGCGCACGCCGACGTTACGGCCGTGTGCAGTTGCAGATAGTCTTTGCCGGAGTGTTGCTGCTGCTGCTGCTGTTCCCATTCCAGTTGGCAACATGTATCGCAACTTAAGTTCGAGAGAGGTGCAGTTGACATGGGAGAGGAGGTTTTATGTTGCTGCGTCTGCTGCTGCTGATGCTGGGAACTGTGGTGGGTTGTTGGTGAGCGCCGTTGTTGGCGATGATGTTTTTTGCTGGACTTTTGTTGGCTGGTCCCATAAGCTCCAGCAGGGCTGCTGCCATGCATTTTGCTGATTTCCTCTTCCATGGCACGTTGACTGGCCATGCTGTTGCGACGATGTTCTCTTCTCTCATCGCCGCCATGTTGCTGGGATTGACCCTCGGCAGAGAGCTTGTTGTTGCTGGAGTGTTTACTGCCTCCCGATGACTGCTGCTGATGCTGATGTTTATCTTTGTTGCGTTGCTCCTCTTTGTCCTTGGATTTATCCATTGTCTCTGTTTCCTGTTGTTTTATGGCATACTGTGATTGTTGCTGTTTGTTGACCTTGAGTTTTGAGCTGCTTGTTGCCTCAACCCTGAGTGTGGTGGTGGTGGTGGTGATGGAGGAGGCGGATTTCGAAGCAGGCGTTGTGGCCATTGGACCATTGACATTGTCTGCCAATGCTTCTTGGGTTGGGGAAGAAGAGTTGTTCGTGGAGTTGTTTTTATTCTGATTCATAGCTGTTGTTGGTGTTGTTGTGGTAGTGGTGGTGTTGCCATCATCCATTGGAACTCTTAGCTGCTGTTGTTTTTCCTGTGAACCATGGATTTCATGGTGTTGCCTAACTGTGGGTGATGTCTTCATTTCCGTTTTGGACATTTGTTGCTCGTCGTCGTCTTTGTTGGCTTCATGTAAATTCATGGTGTTATCACGTGAAGATTGCTGCTCATCTTGTTGCTGTTGTTGTTGTTGTAGCGGTTCTTGTTGCTGCTGCTGCTGCAATGACTTTGTGGTGGTAGCCTGCAGCTGTTGCTCATTTTCCGTTGACAAATTGGATAGACAGTGGCCTTCATCTTCAAGGTTTTGTTGCTGCTGCTGTAACAAAAAGAAGGGTAGGAAAAGGCGGATAAAGAAACATGTGAAAGACAAAATTGTAACAGCGTTATCAAAGGAAATGAAAATTATTACACGAGAAAAACAAAGAAACAACAAATCAGCCACAAGGTTCTTTTTTTTGGCTCATGTGGGAGGCCAGACATGCAATCAAAAAAAAAATTATTTTGCCCATTTGGAAAATTCGAGAGAATCACTTCTCTACTCCCTCAATTAAATAATGAAAATAAATATTCGAAATAAATATTCGATATTTTGGAAATTTCCTTTGAATTTTCTTTCTTCTTTAATTTAAATAATTTGATTCGACAGAAGTAATTGGATTATTGTAATTCTAGGCGTTTAATGAGATAATGATTACGTTGCTGGATGGTAATCGATATTTGTGTTCGGATGACAAATTTTAAAATGCAATTAATAAATTCCAGGGAAGTAATACAGCAAATGTATCAAATGAATTGAATTCGAAAATAAAAGCAATTGAAATTAAAAAAAAAAAACAAGAAGAATAAATAAAAAAAATAAAATCAAAAATAAATTAAAAAATCCACGTGTTCTTCAAATATACAGGGTGAGATTTTTCATCTCTGCAACCAACTTAAGACTGCTGTCATATCTAAGCCACTCACCCGACAGCTTATAAAATTATTCCAGTGACAGCTCATTGTGTTGTTTACAAGCGTACAAAAGCATTTTGTTGAGAATTTTCCAGAAAAAAAGTTATTCGTGATGGAATTCAAGCGTGATAGTGTGATTTCCTTATATTTGGCTGGAAAACCACAATTGGTTATCGTTAGAGCACTCTAGCATTTAAATGTGAATAAATCTTTTTTTGTCTCGTAGCATCTCGTTACCGTCTTACAGGTAGCGTAGCCCAACGTCAAGGAAGTGGATGGAAGAAAACCGCAACATCAGCAGAAATGGTTCGAAAAGTAAAGAAACGATAGAATGATCGAAAACCGCGTCGCAGTGGCCAAAAAATGCCTCGTAAGCTGAACATATTGCAAAAGTCCATTCGGCAAATTTTGAAAAATGAGATCGGGGTAAAGCCATTGAAATTCCAAAAAGTGCAAGAACTTACACCGCAACAGAAAGACATCAGAAAATAGACTCAAAAGAGCTAAAGAGTTTCATCGCATTGCCGAAAGTGGTGAAGTGCCGAATTTGGTTCTCTCCAATGAGAAAACATTCCTTGTCAGCAGTTTGTAAACAAACAAAATGGTCGTGTTTACTTGCCAAAGAGGTCAGTTGAAAATGTGCCCCTTCGGTTGGCCACCAGAACTCAAGCGCCGGTCATGGTGATGGTGTGGGCCGCCATAACAGCTGATGGTCGCTTTCCGCTCGTATTAATCGACCGTGACATCAGAATAAATGTCGAATATTATCGCGAAAATATTCTGGAGAGTGTATTAAAATCTTGGACAAGCATACATTTTGGCCGCAGACCTTGGACATTCCCACAGGACTCAGCACTATCGCACTCAGCACGCACCACCCAAAAATGGTTAAAACCTGAAGTTCCTTGCTTTATTTCCAGCGCACAATGGCCACCAAAATCTCCGGATACCAATCCTTTGGACCATTGTGTCTGGCTTATTTTGGAAAGCAAGGTGGTTGACACTAAAAAATACCAAAGTGTCGATCACCTCAAGCAACCGCTTCGCCGGGAATGGGTCGAAATACCGCAGAACAACATTCGGGCAGCGTGTGACGGTTTCATTGGCCGTTTGTAGGTCATAATTCTTGCCAAAGGTGACCAATTCGAACAAATCTAAACTTATTCTAAAATTTAATGCTATTTCCGACATTTTTGCTCTCATTCAATAAATACATCAAAATAAAACAAGTAAATAAGCAGTAAATTCGGCCGCACTTTGAATACCCTCCACCATTTGGAACGAATTAAGAAAATTTTCCAAAAAAAATAAAACCCATTAAAAATTCTGTTAAAATCTTAAAAAATACAAATAACGTAATGTGGGGGAAATATGATATTGTGGACCTCTACAGACAAATCAATGCCTGGGGGTAAAATACTCACAATGAACTCCTTGTGTGGAACTTTAGACAATTCCGTTGAAAAATGTGGCTAAAATCATCAAAATACCGAATATTGTGGGGTACCGTTATATGGGGGCTATGTGATATCGTAGACCTATATAGACACTATTTTGCTGGGGGTAAAATACCCACAAGGAACTACTTGTGTGGAACTTTAGACAATTCCATTGAAAAATGTGGCTAAAATCATCAAAACACCGAATATCGGGGGGGTACCGTTATATGGGAGCTATACGATATCATGGACCTATATAGACAATTCTCATTCAGGGGGTAAAGTGCTCACAAGGAACACCTTGTGTGGAATTTCAGACAATTCCGTTGAAAAATATGGCTAAAATCATTAAAATACCGAATATTGGGGGGTACCGTGATATGGGAGCTATACGATATCCTGGGCCGATAAAGCCCATCTTCGAACTTGACCTACCTGCAGACAAAAGGGAGATCTGTGCAAAATTTTAGCTTCCTATCTTAATTCGTATCTAAAATCATCAAAATACCGAATATCGGGGGTACCGTTATACGGGGAATATACGATATTGTTGACGTATATAGACAAATGCCCTTCAGGGAGTAAAGTGCTCACAAAGAACTCCTAGTGTGGATTTTCAGACAATTTCCTTGGAAAATGTGGCTAAAATCATCAAAATACCGAATATCACCACGCTTATTGGTCTCCTTGAAAAAATATGTTTAAAAAATCCACGCTTATTGGTCTGTTGGTCCTTGAAAAAATATGTTTAAAAAATCCACGCTTATTGGTCTGTTGGTCCTTGAAAAAATATGTTTAAAAAATCCACGCTTATTGGTCTGTTGGTCCTTGAAAAAATATGTTTAAAAAATCCACGCTTATTGGTCTGTTGGTCCTTGAAAAAATATGTTTAAAAAATCCAGGCTTATTGGTCTGTTGGTCCTTGAAAAAATATGTTTAAAAAATCCAGGCTTATTGGTCTGTTGGTCCTTGAAAAAATATGTTTAAAAAATCCACGCTTATTGGTCTGTTGGTCCTTGAAAAAATATGTTTAAAAAATCCAGGCTTATTGGTCTGTTGGTCCTTGAAAAAATATGTTTAAACAATCCAGGCTTATTGGTCTGTTGGTCCTTGAAAAAATATGTTTAAAAAATTCACGCTTATTGGTCTGTTGGTCCTTGAAAAAATATGTTTAAAAAATCCACGCTTATTGGTCGGTTGGTCCTTGAAAAAATATGTTTAAAAAATCCACGCTTATTGGTCTGTTGGTCCTTGAAAAAATATGTTTAAAAAATCCACGCTTATTGGTCGGTTGGTCCTTGAAAAAATATGTTTAAAAAATCCACGCTTATTGGTCTGTTGGTCCTTGAAAAAATATGTTTAAAAAATCCACGCTTATTGGTCTGTTGGTCCTTGAAAAAATATGTTTAAAAAATCCACGCTTATTGGTCTGTTGGTCCTTGAAAAAATATGTTTAAAAAATCCACGCTTATTGGTCTGTTGGTCCTTGAAAAAATATGTTTAAAAAATCCACGCTTATTGGTCTGGTGGTCCTTGAAAAAATATGTTTAAAAAATCCACGCTTATTGTTCTGTTGGTCCTTGAAAAAATATGTTTAAAAAATCCACGCTTATTGGTCTGTTGGTCCTTGAAAAAATATGTTTAAAAAATCCACGCTTATTGGTCTGTTGGTCCTTGAAAAAATATGTTTAAAAAATCCACGCTTATTGGTCTGTTGGTCCCTGAAAAAATATGTTTAAAAAATCCACGCTTATTGGTCTGTTGGTCCTTGAAAAAATATGTTTAAAAAATCCACGCTTATTGGTCTGTTGGTCCTTGAAAAAATATGTTTAAAAAATCCACGCTTATTGGTCTGTTGGTCCTTGAAAAAATATGTTTAAAAAATCCACGCTTATTGGTCTGTTGGTCCTTGAAAAAATATGTTTAAAAAATCCACGCTTATTGGTCTGTTGGTCCTTGAAAAAATATGTTTAAAAAATCCACGCTTATTGGTCTGTTGGTCCTTGAAAAAATATGTTTAAAAAATCCACGCTTATTGGTCTGTTGGTCCTTGAAAAAATATGTTTAAAAAATCCACGCTTATTGGTCTGTTGGTCCTTGAAAAAATATGTTTAAAAAATCCACGCTTATTGGTCTATTGGTCCTTGAAAAAATATGTTTAAAAAATCCACGCTTATTGGTCTGTTGGTCCTTGAAAAAATATGTTTAAAAAATCCACGCTTATTGGTCTGTTGGTCCTTGAAAAAATATGTTTAAAAAATCCACGCTTATTGGTCTGTTGGTCCTTGAAAAAATATGTTTAAAAATCCACGCTTATTGGTCTGTTGGTCTTTGAAAAAATATGTTTAAAAAATCCACGCTTATTGGTCTGTTGGTCCTTGAAAAAATATGTTTAAAAAATCCACGCTTATTGGTCTGTTGGTCCTTGAAAAAATATGTTTAAAAAATCCACGCTTATTGGTCTGTTGGTCCTTGAAAAAATATGTTTAAAAAATCCACGCTTATTGGTCTGTTGGTCCTTGAAAAAATATGTTTAAAAAATCCACGCTTATTGGTCTGTTGGTCCTTGAAAAAATATGTTTAAAAAATCCACGCTTATTGGTCTGTTGGTCTTTGAAAAAATATGTTTAAAAAATCCACGCTTATTGGTCTGTTGGTCCTTGAAAAAATATGTTTAAAAAATCCACGCTTATTGGTCTGTTGGTCCTTGAAAAAATATGTTTAAAAAATCCACGCTTATTGGTCTGTTGCTCCTTAAAAAATGTTGGTTCTTAAAAATATGTGCTGGAAAGTATTTTAAAACAAATTCAACACACGTGCCGAGGTTGGAGAAAATATATTTAAACATGTTCAAATTCACATGCAATTAACTAGAAAATTGTATGCTATTCATAATGCAATACTATGCTCTTAAATTTACAAAATGTTGTAAAAGGAAAATAATTTTAAGCCACTGCATTCACAAAAAAAAAATTGTTCCTTGCAAACGATGACAGACGACAAGCTGGGATGTGGCTGGATGCTATGCCCACACACATAGTGTCACCTTGAATCCTTTTTTGTGGGAAATCTTAGAATAATTTAGAAAAACTATGCAAACACTTAGCCATAGACACACACACAGATACTTGCATACATGTAGACGACAGACACTCATTGACAATTTCCACAGAGTATGTTGCCGGCACGTAAGAACTTTTTGCAATTTGGAATGAATGTGTGTGTAAAATCATAGGGGGTAGTGTCAAAGTTTTGTAGCCATTGAAAACGAGGAAGTTTATAACTTCAAGGAAGAGAGTAACTTCATATGTATTTACCATTTGGACTGATATTGGCCATTTGGTGCACAATTAACCCGAAATCGGTTGAAGATATATATATGGGAGGCATATCCAAATCGGAACCGATCGTGATACAATTCGACAGAGGTATTTCTGGGCTGTATCTAGTACCAAATATTAAATTCGATGTACTTGCTTCTAGACTAAATTCGGCCGGACGTACCCAAATTCATGCCGTTTCAACTGACATTGGTCACTTGGTGCACAATCAACCAGAAATTGGTTGAAGGTATATATGGGAGCTTTATAACAAAATCTGAACCGATCTTGACAAAATTTGGCAAAGTTATTTCCGAGCTCTAGAAGATATCTGGTACCAAATATCATTGTTGTCGAATGCATATTACGAATGTGAGGCAGTTAAACACCAAATCGGATGAAACATACCAGAAGAAATGGTCCGATCTCTACCATCTTTATAACAGATCTTGTGTTGATGGAAATATTGCGATGTACCAAGTCTGAATGGAATTGGATGTTAATTTCTCGTTTATTATGAGGTTCATGGATATTCAAAATGTTGACCCTTTTGGGGGGGGGGGGAGTTACCAGAAGGAGTGGAACGATATATGCCATCTTCACAGCAGTTCTTGTTTTAGTAGAAATGTTGGGATGTGTGAAATATAAAGAGAACCGGATGGTTATTTCGGATTTTATGATCGTTTTGGTTATACAAAACTTTGACCCTTTGGGTGCGAGGTACCAGAAGGAATGTTTCGATCTCTACAATCTTGCGCTGATAGAAATATTGAGATGTGCCAAGTCTCAATGTAATTGGATATTAATTTCGTGTTTTATGAGCTTAATGGATATTCTAAATGTTAACCTTTTATGAGGGAGGTACCAGAAGGATGGGACCGATATATGCCATCCTCACAGCAGATCTTGTTTTAATAAAAAAAATATTGTGCTATGTGTAATTTGAAGACAATCGAACTCTTACATCACATTTTATTAGAGTTATAATTATTCAAAATATTGATCCTTTGTGGAGGAGGTATTTGATGGAGTGGACCGATATTGTATATTTTCTCATCTGACCTACGAGTGATAAAAATATTGGGATTTGAAAAGTTTGAACAAGATTAGATGATCTTTCTGTTAAGGAATTTCTGTGAAAATATTGATATTTTGTGGGGAAGGTACCAAAAGGAGTGCACCGATATTGTATATCTCCTAATTTTTATAATATTATTACTATGTACTCATTTTGGATCGAATCGGATACTCACTTCGAGAGTTATCGTGCGCACCAACCAGATAGACAGGCGGACGGATATCGCTAGATCGACCAAATATCCTTAAATGGATTTGGTCCAAAGTCGCCTAGGGTTTAAAATCGTTATTTTGATGAGGCACGTTTGTCCACATCAGATTATATACCCTCTGTAGCCATGTGACTGAGTGTATAATTATAAAAATGCCGAATATCGGTAGACACCGTTACATGGGGTCTATACGAAAATATTGGGCAATGCCAATAAAAACAAGTGGTTCAATCTAATACTACTCAGGATATTTGGGCTCCCGTTATCAGAGACCGATGTAGCATATATTTGTAATTGACGGACTTTGACGAAATGATAAATTTAATATACCCTCTATGCTATGGTGGAGGGTTTGGAACAACTAAGAAATCAAAACCGTATAGGCCTCCAATACAGTACGAAGACTCCCTATAAGATTTTTGTAGATATGTATATAATCTCCTATAGGCCCCAAAAAAAAAAAAATAAACTACCTCTTGTTGGTCTCATATAAATGGAATACTTCTTATGAGTATCTTAAGGGTAGAAGATCCCATATGGTTCATATAGAGAGAAACACATCTTTAAATCTTCCAAAGAAAGGACGGCCTCAAATGGCTCTTCTAAGGATAGAAAACATCCATGGAGAAAATGTATTTTACAATTCTTCTGTAGATAGAAAATCTTCGCAAAGTCTTCAAGAGATAATAGTCGATCTGAAGGTCTTCTATGTAAATGACTTGGAGGTTCATTGGGTATCCTATAGATAGACGACCTTCCATAGGTATCTTAGAGAGAAAAAATTCTCTTTAGGTTTCCTGTATGAAAAAAACCTATGGATTTAATACGATTAGAATACTTTCCATAAGTCTCCTACAGATTGAAGACCTCCTTTTGGTCTCCTTTATATAGAATGTCTTTAAAATCTTGTAGGTCTCTTATAAATGGAATACTTCTTATGAGTCTCTTACGGATAGAAGATCTCCTATATGTCTCTCCTACATGTTTATACAGTCAGGACACCTTCCTTAGATATCCTAATGAAAATCTACCTTTAGGTCTTCTAAAGATCGAAGACGTTTTATAGGACTATTTTAGCTTGTAAAACTTCCTTTAGGTTTTATATCAATACAAAACCTCCTATATGACTCATATACCTAAATTTGGTCGATTCCTATCATATCTTATTGACATATTTTCTTCCTTCTATATATATGGAATATATCTATAGGGTCGCCTATATATAGAAGTCCTCCCATATGGTTCATATAGAGAGAAACACATCTTTAGATCTTCCAAAGAAAAAGCGGACTCAAATGGCTCTTCTAAGGATCGAAAACATTCATTAGACCTCCTTTGGAGAAAATGTATTTTACAATTCTTCTGTTGATAGGAAATCTTCACAAAGTCTCCAAGAGATAATAGTCGATCTGAAGGTCTTCCATGTAAAGGACTTGGAGGTCCATTGGGTCTCCTATACATAGACGATCTTCCACTGATATCCAATAGAGAGAAGATTCTCTTCAGGTTTCCTGTATAAAAAAAGACCTTCCATGGATCTGATACGTTTAGAATACCTTTCATAAGTTTCCTACAGATTGAAGACCTCCTTTTGGTCTCCTTTATATAGAATGTCTTTTAAATCATCTATTAGGTGAAGACCTTCTATAGACCTACATTTTAAGGAATACCTTCAATCGGTCTAGACAAGAGACTTCTAATTTATCTTCTACGGCTAAAACATCTCTGGAGATCTTCTATAAATATAATATCGTTAATAGCTTTTCTCTACATATACTACCTTCAAAAGGTCTTACATTAGAGGACCTTCCGATGGATCTACATCCTATCTACATAAAGTCTTCTCTCCATGGAAGACCTATTTAAGGTAATCCACAAAAAATTATGGCTTTTCTGTAGATAGAAAATCGGCTTTTGGTCTTCTATATAAAAGATGCCTCTAAGGTGTTCTAGAAATTAAAGACCTCCTTTGCATAGAATGCCATTCAAAATTCTTCTGTAGATAGAATACCTCACATAGAAATAATACAACCACATACCCTTTTAATCCAACTTCCAAACAGACCCCTCGCATTTTCCCTATTTACTGACATTTTCTAAACTAAATATTTAATGGATCTTTACGACGCCTTCCAGCAAGCTGTAACTATGCTGCATATTTCAAATTTGTGCAATGCCAGTGCCGAAGGCAATTACAACAAAAACAACAATACTGAAATTAATGACATATTCAAAAGAACATAACTTACCTGTTGCTGCTGCTGCTGGAGCTGCTGTGATGGTTGATGTTTAGTTTCCGCAGAAGCAGAAGACGACAAAGTGTCGGTAACTTTGGTGGAGGCATTCTGCTTCTGCTCCTTCTTCTTCTCCACCTCATCCTCCTTCTGTTGCGACGATGTCAAATGTGATGCCGTGGAGCCACCACCACCGCCACTACAACTGGCAGCCGTACAAGCTGAGTCCTCACTGCGTGCATCATAGAACACGTCTTCATCCTCGGTTTGGTCACGTTGTTCACGTGAATCGGAGCCGGTGAGGGGAGTAAGTGAGGAAACAGATGTCACTGACATAAATGTGGATGTGGATGCAGTTAGTTGCTGCTGCTGTTGGGGAGTGGTATTTGTGGGTGGTGTGTGGGCCCGTTTACTGGGTGTAGGAGGTCCTTCACTGGCCGTAACCGGGAGCAATGACTGCGATTCTTCTGTCTCGTCAGGCTTAGTTGTGGAGCTGTTTGAAGTTTTGCCTGCTGATAACTTGTTTTCCATGTTACTTGTTTCCTGCTGCTGCCGTGCCTCTTCAACCGGAGTTGCTGTCGCTTCCATTGTTTTCATTTCTCTTTGATTGTCTTTGTTTGCCTGCCTCGTTGGCGATATCTCATTGTCTGTGGTCTTGGTTTTCCGTTTCCTTTCGAGTTTTGTGTCATCGCGCATTGTATCGGCCATGTTTTGTTGCAGCTCCTGCAAATCGGCATAGGTGGCCGGTGAGGGTGGCGGCGGGGCTGGCATCTCCTTGCGCCTATGGGCAGCGGTGAGCGATGAAGTTTTCATTTCCTTGGAGTGTTTCTTGCTGTGACGTTTCTCTTCCGGCGGCTCCAGGCTGAGATATTGTTCGGTCGACTTCCCACCGGATTTGGGACTCTGATGTGGACTGGTCGAGGATCGTTGATTGGTGGTCTTGGGTATGGCTCCCGTATTGCTGCTGGCCACCAAACGATCCAGAGAGGCATAATCGGGTTTTTCATTGTTGCGCAAATTTTCCGGTTGCAGTTTCCGCTGCAGAGGCTGTGGAGTGGTTGCGTTTTGTTGCAAACTGGTCCTGGGTGCTGGTGTGGGTTTGGGGCTGCGTTCCTTGGTCAGCGGTAGAGTGGCCACTCCAGTAGGCATATTTTCCTTTTCTTTGTTTTCTTTCTTCTGTGACTTTTTGGGACTCATGGACTCCATGTTGCCGTTCCTTTGCATCTCGGCCTGATAGATGCTGCGTTTTACATCATTGACATGCTTGAAAAAGTCCTGGGCATATTTATTTTGCTTCAAGGCCTGTTGACGTTCCACATTGGCGGCCATATCGAAATCTTCCAGCGCCCCAGGTGGTGGCTGGCCCCCAGTGGAGGGTAGGGTACCTTTGGCGGTCTTACGCGGTATTCCTCCACCACTGTAGATGTCATCGAAATCAGAGGAGAAATAGTTGGAGGAACAGTCACAGTTGCGACAGTCATAACGACACTGATCGGAATAATTGCATTTTTCATTTGGACCCGTTTGAGGAGGGGCCGCAGGAGGTGGTGGACCAACACCACCCCCACCATTGCTGTGGGCCGTAATCGAACCCCGATGATTACCGAAGAGATTTCCCCCTCCTGGGCCACTGTCCAAACTGCAACGACGACAGTCATAGCCAAAGCGACAACTCTCGGCACTGCCAAAGTAACGCCTCTGTCCGGGCGCGGCATAAGAAGCCATGAGAGAGTTTTCAAATTGCGGCTCAGCCATATGCCCACTGGGATAATGACGTCCACTACCATAGCGTGGCCCCAGGCCTCCATAATATGTATCGCTACTCCTGGACAGGGAGTATTCACTCAAGATGGATGCCCTCGAATCGGATTTATAGATTTGAGGTGGCACCTCTCCCAGGCCTCCAGAGTTGTCCATCAAAATTTGTGAGCCTCCCAAACGGCGACTGGCAGCATACATGAGGGGTTGTAGTGGCTGGGGTGGGAAATAATTGCCTCCATTATTACCCCCCGTTCCTAGCAAAGGATTGGCATTAGCGCTGTTGTAGAATCCTGCATCCATGTGGGTAAAGGTATTGAATTTCTGGGGATGCTGCAGCGAGTCGCTGGAAGAACTGGATTTGGTATTCATTCGCTGCATAGAGTTCACGGCTCCTGGGATGTGACCCACCAAGTAGGTGCGGGGCCTGCCGCCTCCAACTGGCCCCGTAGCCTGGGTCCAAAATGCCGTCTGTTGGCCCCCAGGATTATAGAGGTTCCCAGGTTGTTTGTAGGCAAAAAATTGCTGCTGGATACCATGTTGGCTGCCCATTAGCGAGGAGCCATGAATTGCCAACTGACCCTGCCCTTGTTGCTGAGAGTGCTGCTGGTGCTGCCCGTGATGATGTTGATGATGTTCACTAGGTGTCGTTGTGGCCGTACTGGTGGTGGAGGTCGATTGCTGTGGCGGCATCTGAGCCATATTCGGTTGTTGGAATTGTAAAATTGGATTGAAATCCCCGGTGATGGCTACGGGGGTGGTTTCGATTTTGTACACCCCTGGATTGTTGGGATTATAAGACTGGAATTCCAAAATAGGAGCCGAGGTGCCACTCATTTGATTCTCCAAGGAACTACGCATGGTCGCCGCCGAGTTATTGTTCAAACTTCCCGAAGTATTGGAACGGCTTCCAATCATTTTATTGCTTGACATATTTTGAGTTTGTACCGTGGCATTTCGGGTATTTACAACTTGACCCCCTGTTCCCTCCGCTGCCAGGCAATACTCACAATCAGCCTTGTCGCACTGCTGTTGCATGCACAGCTCACAATCGGCATACATGGATTCTTGACATTGTGCCCCACCCGGACCCATACCACTGTTATTGGTATTAGCCTGCTTCCCACCACCACCACCAGTTTTTGCCGGATTTTGGTTCTCGTCCTCATCACTGGGTGGTGTATCCTTAAAGAATATCTCCTCATAGATATTCTCCTCACTTTTATCAATTGGTTTGGGTTTGGCAGGCAATTGACTGGCCGATTGCTGCAATACGGCGGTGGCCACCTGCTGGGTAACCGGTATTGATTGGTGGGTCTGAAAAGTACTCTTCTGCTTTTCTACAAATTTCTTGGAGGACTTGAGGCCCTCTTTCAGCAGATAATAATTGAAACTTTTAATGCCAATTTCACCCTTGAGGAAACGTCTACCCATGTGCATTTTCGAGGTGCTGGCATTGCTCACTGATGCTGCCGTTGTGGAGGCCGCCACACTGATATTCTCCTTGGCCGAGCTATGCATGGAGAAGACCTCATCCTGATCCAAGGGATATTCGGGTGGTTGTCTCTGCCAGTTGGCCTCATCGCTGCGTTGCTTTCCCAAATTGTAACGGGTTAAGGCCAGGCGTTGTGGCAGTTCCGGAGGTTCATCTAGACCCCGATCCTCATCCTTAGCCTCCGCAGCTTGCTGCTGCTGCATTTGTTGTTGCAACTGCATCACCTTATTGTCCAAACTTAAATTTCGTTTTTGTTTCGTTGATTTTTTCTCCGAGCGACGTTTCATTTCCGGTTTATCTGCTGGCAAACCCACTCCTCCTGGTGCCCCTGGCACACCAAGGTGATCATTTCTCTCAAATCCTTTACTTCTCTCCAAACTACGTCCACGACCACCACCGCCGCCACCCATAGCATCAGATCGTGCCGATGTCGGTCGTATATAACGTAAATCATCTTCCGAGCTACTATAGGCTATGTGGCCAATATCTTCTTGGGCCAGTTTTTGAAATTCTTTCGTCAATTTGCTTCGTTTTCCTAATGAACTGCTACCGCTTCCCATGTTCCCCACCATCATACCCTTGGCAGCCATGGAGGTTAAAGTTTCTGTGGTACAACTGCTGCGACGCAGTGGGTTTGCCAAGTGACTTATGTCCTCCGTGTAGGCTGGGTCATCGTAAATGCGATCCCTTACCGAAGACACGGAGCGTTCTTTCGACTGAAAGGAGAAGAGAACAAGGAGGGAACAAAGCTTAAAATATGACAGAAATTGGTAAAATGTTTAAAGAAAATAAAAAATATAAAAATTCGCGATTAATAATAGTCCTTAAAAATTTATTTAAAAATCCACGAATATTGATCTGTTGGTCCTCGAAAAAATTTATTTAAAAAATTCATGAATATTGGTCTGTTGGTCCCTGAAAAAAATTATTTAAAAAAATCCAAGCTTATTGGTCTGTTGGTCCTTAATTTTTTTTAAAAAATTCACGAATATTGGTCTGTTGGTCCCTGAAAAAATTATTTAAAAAAATCCAAGCTTATTGGTCTGTTGGTCCTTGAAAAAATTTATTTGAAAAATCAACGAACATTTGTCTGTTGGTCTTTGAAAAAAGTTATCTAAAAACTCCACGAATATTAGTCTGCTGGTCCTTGAAAAAATTTATTTAAAAAATCCGAAAATATATTGGTCTGTTTGTCCTTGAAAAAATTTATTTCAAAAATCCACGAATATTGGTCTGTTGGTTCTTGAAAAAAATGATTTCAAATTTCCACGAATATTGGCCTGTTGGTTCTTGAAAACATTATTTAAAAAATCGACGAATATTGGTCCGGTGGTCCTTGAAAACAAGTAATTAAAAAAAAAACAAGAATATTGGTCTGTGGTCCTTGAAAAAATTTCTTTAAAAAATCGACGAATATTGGTTTGTTGGTACTTTAAAAAATTTCTTTAAAAAATCCACGAATATTGGTCTGTTGGTCATTGAAAAATTTATTTAAAAAATCCACGAATACTGGTCTGTTCGTCCTTGAAAAAAATTATTTAAAAAATCCACGAATATTGGTCTGTTGGTCCTTGAAAAAATTGATTTCAAATTTCCACGAATATTGGCCTGTTGGTCCTTGAAAAAAATTATTTACTAAATCCACGAATATTGGTCTGTTGGTCCTTGAAAAAATTATTTAAAAAACCGACGAATATTGGTCCGGTGGTCCTTGAAAACAAATAATTAAAAAAAAAAAAACACGAATATTGGTCTGTTGGTCTTTGAAAAAAAATTTATTTAAAATCCACGAATATTGGTCTGTTGGTCCTTGAAAAAATTATTTAAAAAACCGACGAATATTGGTCTGTTGGTCCTTGAAAAAATTTCTTTAAAAAATCGACGAATATTGGTTTGTTGGTCCTTGAAAAAAATTATTTAAAAAATCCACGAATATTGGTCTGTTGGTCCTTGAAAAAAATTATTTAAAAAATCCACGAATATTGGTATGTTGGTCCTTGAAAAAAATTATTTAAAAATCCACGAATATTGGTATGTTGGTCCTTGAAAAAAAATTATTTAAAAATCCACGAATATTGGTATGTTGGTCCTTGAAAAAAATTTTTTAAAAATCCACGAATATTGGTATGTTGGTCCTTGAAAAAAATTATTTAAAAATCCACGAATATTGGTATGTTGGTCCTTGAAAAAAATTATTTAAAAATCCACGAATATTGGTATGTTGGTCCTTGAAAAAAATTATTTAAAAATCCACGAATATTGGTATGTTGGTCCTTGAAAAAAATTATTTAAAAATTCACGAATTTAGGTCTGTTGGTCCTTGAAAAAATTTATTTAAAAAATCAACGAATATTGGTCTGTTGGTCCTTGAAAAAATTTATTTAAAAAATTCACGCTTATAGGTCTGTTGGTCCTTAAAAAAAATTATCTAAAAAATTCACGAATTTAGGTCTGTTGGTCCTTGAAATAAAATTATTTAAAAAATCCACGAATATTGATCTGTTGGTCCTTGAAATAAAATTATTTAAAAAATCCACGAATATTGATCTGTTGGTCCTTGAAATAAAATTATTTTAAAAATCCACGAATATTGGTCTGTTGGTCCTTGAAATAAAATTATTTTAAAAATCCACGAATATTGGTCTGTTGGTCCTTGAAATAAAATTATTTAAAAAATCCACGAATATTGGTCTGTTGGTCCTTGAAATAAAATTATTTAAAAAATCCACGAATATTGATCTGTTGGTCCTTGAAAAAAATTATTTAAAAATCCACGAATATTGGTATGTTGGTCCTTGAAAAAAATTATTTAAAAATTCACGAATTTAGGTCTGTTGGTCCTTGAAAAAATTTATTTAAAAAATCAACGAATATTGGTCTGTTGGTCCTTGAAAAAATTTATTTAAAAAATTCACGCTTATAGGTCTGTTGGTCCTTAAAAGAAATTATCTAAAAAATTCACGAATTTAGGTCTGTTGGTCCTTGAAATAAAATTATTTAAAAAATCCACGAATATTGGTCTGTTGGTCCTTGAAATAAAATTATTTTAAAAATCCACGAATATTGGTCTGTTGGTCCTTGAAATAAAATTATTTTAAAAATCCACGAATATTGGTCTGTTGGTCCTTGAAATTAAATTATTTTAAAAATCCACGAATATTGGTCTGTTGGTCCTTGAAATAAAATTATTTTAAAAATCCACGAATATTGGTCTGTTGGTCCTTGAAATAAAATTATTTAAAAAATCCACGAATATTGATCTGTTGGTCCTTGAAATAAAATTATTTAAAAAATAAACGAATATTGATCTGTTGGTCCTTGAAATAAAATTATTTAAAAAATCCACGAATATTGGTCTGTTGGTCCTTGAAATAAAATTATTTTAAAAATCCACGAATATTGGTCTGTTGGTCCTTGAAATAAAATTATTTAAAAAATCCACGAATATTGGTCTGTTGGTCCTTGAAATAAAATTATTTAAAAAATCCACGAATATTGATCTGTTGGTCCTTGAAATAAAATTATTTAAAAAATCCACGAATATTGATCTGTTGGTCCTTGAAATAAAATTATTTAAAAAATCCACGAATATTGATCTGTTGGTCCTTGAAATAAAATTATTTAAAAAATCCACGAATATTGGTCTGTTGGTCCTTGAAATAAAATTATTTTAAAAATCCACGAATATTGGTCTGTTGGTCCTTGAAATAAAATTATTTTAAAAATCCACGAATATTGGTCTGTTGGTCCTTGAAATAAAATTATTTAAAAAATCCACGAATATTGGTCTGTTGGTCCTTGAAATAAAATTATTTAAAAAATCCACGAATATTGATCTGTTGGTCCTTGAAATAAAATTATTTAAAAAATCCACGAATATTGGTCTGTTGGTCCTTGAAATAAAATTATTTTAAAAATCCACGAATATTGGTCTGTTGGTCCTTGAAATAAAATTATTTAAAAAATCCACGAATATTGGTCTGTTGGTCCTTGAAATAAAATTATTTAAAAAATCCACGAATATTGGTCTGTTGGTCATTGAAATAAAATTATTTAAAAAATCCACGAATATTGGTCTGTTGGTCCTTGAAAAAAATTATTTGAAAAATCCACGAATATTGGTCTGTTGGTCCTTGAAAAAAATTATTTAAAAAATCCACGAATATTGGTATGTTGGTCCTTGAAATAAAATTATTTAAAAAATCCACGAATATTGGTCTGTTGGTCCTTGAAATAAAATTATTTAAAAAATCCACGAATATTGGTCTGTTGGTCCTTGAAATAAAATTATTTAAAAAATCCACGAATATTGGTCTGTTGGTCCTTGAAATAAAATTATTTAAAAAATCCACGAATATTGGTCTGTTGGTCCTTGAAATAAAATTATTTAAAAAATCCACGAATATTGGTCTGTTGGTCTTTGAAAAAAATTATTTAAAAAATCCACGAATATTGGTCTGTTGGTCTTTGAAAAAAATTATCTAAAAAATTCACGAATATTGGTATGTTGGTCCTTGAAACAATTTATTTAAAAAAAACACGAATATTGATCCATTGGTCCTTGAAAAATTGATTTAAAAAATCCACGATTATTGGTCTGTTGGTCCTTGAAAAATTTTATTTAAAAAGTCCACGATTATTGGTCTGCTGGTCCTTGAAAAAATATATTTAAAGTATTCACAATTCTCAAAAATTCAAAAATCCGCTACTCTGATTTTTTCTTTAAACCATATTCTTAAAAATGCCACAACTACTTTTAAATTAAATTTCAACTTTAACATTTTCCTCTCACCATAACATTATGTGTGGGGCAAAATATCCTCGCGTAGAGTCTGCCATTAAGGTAGAAGGAATGGCGACATTAATTAAATGCACAATTCAATTGAAGCGTTATGTCTGTGCCAACATTGAAATTAGCTTTACAGCATTACATTGAACTACTGCTATAGAGTTACAACATTTCTCTGCCGACACACCACCATAAGGAATTCCCCAGCAGATCCATGGCAGAATTTATAAATCCAATGAAATCCGCCAACTCACATTCACACACACAGCCAATTACAAAATCAACAAACCGCCATCAGAACCGCCAAGTTAACAGGTAAACCGAGAAGATGTCATAAAGCTGCTCATATTCTCAATGGATGGCGTCGTCTGTGGGATGTCATCAAGGTCTGGCCAGGGAATGACAATGTAAATAAATACTGAAAGGGGGATGAAACTGGAATAGGACAATTTACAACACCAAAAATTGAGAACTTCGTATATTTTTAAATTTTTTTTCAGGATATGCTTATTCCTGGCTTAAAAATTCAAGGACCAAAAATATTCAAGGGCCATTAGACCAATAAACGTGGATTTTTTAAAAATATTTTTAAGGACCATTTGATCCATGAATCTGGATTTTTTAAACATATCCAGACAGATAGACGTGGATTTTTAAAGAATATTTCTTCAAGGACTACCGTGCCAATAGGCGTGGATTTCTAAAGAATATTTCTTCAAGGACCAACAGACCAATGGGCGTGGATTTTTTAAGAATATTTCTACAAGGACTACCAGACCAATGGGCGTGGATTTTTTAAGAATATTTCTTCAAGGACCACCAGACCAATGGGCGTGGATTTTTTAAGAATATTTCTTCAAGGACCACCAGACCAATGGGCGTGGATTTTTTAAGAATATTTCTTCAAGCACGGCCAGACATATAGACGTGGATTTTTGAAGAATATTTCTTCAAGGACTACCAGACAGATAGACGTGGATTTTTAAAGAATATTTCTTCAAGGACTACCGGGCCAATAGGCGTGGATTTTTAAAGAATATTTCTTCAAGGACTACCAGACAGATAGACGTGGATTTTTAAAGAATATTTCTTCAAGGACTACCGGGCCAATAGGCGTGGATTTTTAAAGAATATTTCTTCAAGGACTACCAGACAGATAGACGTGGATTTTTAAAGAATATTTCTTCAAGGACTACCGGGCCAATAGGCGTGGATTTTTAAAGAATATTTCTTCAAGGACTACCAGACAGATAGACGTGGGTTTTTAAAGAATATTTCTTCAAGGACTACCGGGCCAATAGGCGTGGATTTTTAAAGAATATTTCTTCAAGGGCCACCAGACCAATGGGCGTGAATTTTTTAAGAATATTTCTTTAAGGACTACCAGGCAGATAGACGTGGATTTTTAAAGAATATTTCTTCATGGATCACCAGACAGATAGACGTGGATTTTTTAAGAATATTTCTTCAGGGACCACCACTTTTTTAAGAATATTTCTTCAAGGATCACCTGACTTATAAACGTGGATTTTTTTAAGAATAGTCTCTCAAGAAGCACCAGACCAAAAGGTGTGGATTTTTAAAGAATATTTCTTCAAGGGTCACAAGACAGATAGACGTGGATTTTTTAAAAATATTTTTTTCGAAGACCAACAGATCAATGGGTGTGGAGTATTTAAGAATATTTCTTCTATCACCACCAGTTTTATAAGGATATTTCTTCAAGGACCACCAGACCAATGGGCGTGGATTTTTTAAGAATATTTCTTTAAGGACTACCAGTTTTTAAGGATATTTCTTCAAGGACCACCAGACCAGGGGCGTGGATTTTTTAAGAATATTTCTTTAAGGACCACCAGTTTTTTAGGATATTTCTTCAAGGACCACCAGACCAATGGGCGTGGATTTTTTAAGAATATTTCTTTAAGGATCACCAGTTTTTTTAAGGATATTTCTTCAAGGAACACCAGACCAATTGTCGTGGATTTTTTAAGAATATTTCTTCAAGAACTACCAACCAATGAGAGTGGATTTTTTTTTAAATTATTTTTTCAAGGACCACCAGACCAATGGGCGTGAGGTATTTAAGAATACATCTTCAAGGGCCCCCAGATTTTTTAGGGTATTTTTTTGAGGGTCACCATATATATTCTTCAAGGACCACCATATAAATAAAAGTTGATTTTTAAGAATATTTCTTCAAGGACAACCATATTATTTAAGGATATTTCTTCAAGGACCAGCAGACCAATAGACGTAGATTTTTTTAAGAACATGTCTTCAAGGACTACCAGATCAATGGGGATGGATTTTTTAAAAATATTTGTTCAAGGTCAACCATACCAATGGATGTGAGTATTGAGAAATATTTCTTGTATCACCAGCGGTTTTTTTAAGGATATTTCTTCAAGGACCAACAGAACATGGGGGTGGATTTTTTAAGAATATTTCTTTAAGGGCTACCAGACCAATTGGCGTACATTTTTTAATTATATTGTAAGACTATTTCGTCTAGGTCTACCAGACTTATAGGTATGCAAATTTAAGAATATTTCTTCAAGGATGTTTTTCAAGCATTTTATGATCTGTTTTTTTTTTTTTTAATTCATACCACGTAACCAAGGTGTATCATTACAATTTCCACGAAATTGAAATACATTCATTTCCCACGCTCACATTATAATATTGCCATCATAAAGCTAACAACCTCCAATTGTTCGGTAAACTCCTCTGCATATAATTCAATAAAAACTAACGAGCTCCATTCTCTCTTTCTCATCGTGTGTGGGCCGTGCTAACCTTGCAAGTTATCAGCCAACATTTATGAAACCATAGTAAAATTAATTGCATTCATCGCAAAAAAAAAAACTGGCTTTGGCACCCAACACCTTCTTGACAACCGAAAATTCCCACCATATCCAAAACCCCGATGATGTGGAGAGAGAGAAGGGAGAGTTATATTAAATATTATGACATTGACTCACCTTTGTTTTGGTTTTCTTGCGATTGCGATGCGGTACGGTAATGTCACTTAATTTTAATAATTTTGGTCTAATTGGACGTTTGCCAGGACCCAGTGGCGTTGTGGTACTGCCGGTACCTCCTCCTCCTACACTACCATTGCCACCAGCACCACTACCACCACCGCCACCACCAGCCATGGCAGAAATGTTAACTCCAATGCCGCCACTACCAACCCCACCTCCTCCTCCTCCAACTGTGGTTTTGGCCACCCTTTCAAAAGTTAAATCCAAATAAGTTTCGGATGTCATGATGATGAGTATGGGCTAAGTTGGACTGGATGCTGTTGGTTGTGATGGTGATGATGATAATAATTATTTGAGGTCTGCTCTCCGCTACAATGCTGCTGTTTTTTTTTTCTATAATTTTAATGAGTGTCGTCTGCTGGACGACCACTTGGGACTTTTGTATTTGGCATTTTATTTGGAAACCATCATCGTTTCCATTCACATCCCTTTCATCTTCGATACAGGTTTCGGTTCAGCTCAATTGGTCGTTAAGGACGCATTCATTTGCAATTATAATCAATTTGGCGCTGAAATGAAGTAGGCAAAAGAGGAAACGAACAAAATAAATGGAGATGAACAAATATTATGGAAATGTATAACTTAAGTTTAAAATTATGTAGCTATGTACTACAGTTCTATAGAATATAAGATGTATTTATTATAATAGCATTTATGGTTCATGGAGAATATGATAATTGCTATCTCTAAAGAAGATCATGGAAATATGCATAATTTTTGAAATACATATATTAATAACTTTCAGGTGGTTTTATTAAAATACAAAAAAAACCAAAGGGACATTTTTCAAAAGTATCAAACAATTTCCCCATAGAAGATCTCAGAACCTTCTTATAAAAAAACAAGTAAAAAAGCTGTAAGTTCGGCCGGGAAATTTTCAAAAAAAAAAATAATAATAATAACAATAATAATAATAATAATAACAATAATGATAATAATAATAATAATAATAATAATAATAATAATAATAATAATAATAATAATAATAATAATAATAATAAATAAATAAATAAATAAATAAAATCCGTAAAAATTCTCTTAAAATCTTAAATAAAAATACCGAACATAGCCGTTATATTAGGGTTTACATGACGACGTGGACCTGCATAGGTAACTTTTGTCATAAGTCATTTCAATATTCAAATGCGAAAGTTGAAAAAATTGCTCGAGAATAATGTAGCAAAAATCATCAATATACCGAATATAGGGACCTGCAAAACGTGGACCGGCACAGACAATTTTCATAGGCTAGGTAGTATTCATTGGGAACTTAAAAAAACCAAATTTGAAACGATTCCGGTGAATATGTTATATGGGGGCTATAGGAAGTCGTAGGCCTGCATAGACAATTTTCTGTCATAGACTGTAGTATTCATTACGAACTTCAAATACAAAATTTGAAACAATTCCGGTGAATAATTTCGGTAAACTCATCAAAATACAGAATATTGGAGGTTCCCTTATATGAGGGCTATACGAAGACGTGGACCTGCACAGACAATTTTCTGTCATAAGCTGCAGTATCCATTACAAACTTCAAATACCAAATTTGAAACAATTCCGGTGAATAATGTCGGTAAACTCATCAAAATACAGAATATTGGAGGTTCCGCTATATGAGGGCTATACGAAAACATGGACCTGCACAGGCAATTTTCTGTCATAAGCTGTAGTATATATTACTAACTTCAAATACCAAATTTAAAAAAATTCCGGTGAATAATGTCGGTAAACTCATCAAAATACAGAATATTTAAGGTTCCGTTATATGAGGGCTGTACGAAGACATGGACCTGCACAGACAATTTTCTGTCATAAGCTGCAGTATCCATTACAAACTTCAAATACTAAATTTGAAACTATTCCCGTAAATAATGTCGCTAAAATCATCGAAATACCGAATATCGGGAGGTACCATTTATGGGGACTATGCGAAGACATGGATCTGCACAGACATTTTTCTGTCAAAAGCTGTAGTATCTATTACTAACTTCAAATACCAAATTTTAAACAATTCCGGTGAATAATGTCGGTAAAATCATCAAAATGCAGAATATCGGGAGGTGTCTCATTTCGTTCGGAATATAGAGTGATTTCCACACACGGACAGACGGAAGGACATCACTAACTGGTCATTAAAATATTTCTTTTTTATAAAAAAAAAAAAAAACATAAAATCGTCGTATAGAAGACAACAAAGTCTTAGAATACCACTACAACGTTTATAGAAGACCATAACAAGATAATTTTATGGAGGACACTTGACACGGACGCTTTTAACAAATCTTTGAAAAATCATGATTTATGCCAATCAAAAATGTCCATGAATTCCATTATAATATTTTCAAATGTCTACGAATTATGAAGCTCGCAAATCCACGATTGATATTATTGGAATATCCTCGCAAAAATATTTTGGAAAATACGCTTTGGGCGTATCAAACGATATATACCCTCTATAGCCTAAGAACTAACGGGTTTAGCAATTATTCACATAAAATTGGAAATAAATGTTAGATTTTCTTTACATTTTTCACATGCCAATATTTTTATATATATTAGATGAAGTGAAATACTTCGATCCACCATATTCACGCACATTTCCATATTTTTCAAAAATTATCAAATTTGTCATATAAATTGAAGGATGTAGTCGATAAAGTCGAAATCTGGCACAAATCTTACCCATAAATGATCAATAATTTGAATGGCCATAAAACAATTCAAAATACCAGTAAAGAAAGTCTTAAAGTCGGGCGGGGCCGACTTCATGATACCCTACACCACTTTGCTAATTTAGTAGAGCTCCGCATAACAATTAAAAGTTTTTATGGGAGAATTCAATCATACACGCTATGATTATAATTATAATTTAAAGTTCAAAGGACTAAATATGCCGAAGCATTTGTATCTTTTAAATTCGGACTTGTATATGGGAGCTATATCCAAATCGGAACCGACCTCGATAAAATTTGGCAAAGATATTTCTGAGCTGTTTTTGATATATTTCCCTGAATATCGTTGTTACGGAGTGCATATTACGGCTGTGGGTAACAAATATGGCAAATCGGATGAACAGTATATATGGGAGCTATAGCTATATCTGAACCGATCTTCACCAAATTTGGCATAAAAGCTTCTAGACTTGGTCGTAAGTGCCGAATTTCATCCCATTTAGGCAAATATTAGACGTTTGGTGCACAATCAAAGGTAAATCGGACGAAGTTATATATGGGAGCTATATCAAAATCTGAACCGATTTCGATACAATTTAGCAAATGTATTTCTGAGCTGTATTAATATATTTCCCCAAATATTGTTGTTACAGAGTGCATATTACGGCTGCGGAGGACAAAAGTAACAAATCGGATGAACAATATATATGGGAGCTATAGTTATATCTGAACCGAATTCGATCAAATTTTGCATACTTATTTTCAGGTCCAATCTGATCGTACGTGCAAAATTCCATACTATTCGGGCTGATAGCACACGTTTGGTGCACAATAAAAGGCAAATCGGACGAAGATATATATGGGAGCAATATCTAAATTTTGATCGATTATCTCCAATTTCAATAGAATTCGTCCTTGGGCCAAACAAATGATTTGTGCAAAATTTCATCTGGATAGGGCAATAAATGCGAACTGTACGTTGTTTACAAAAATACATGGACAGACGGACGGACGGACGGACGGACATGCATAAATCGACTCACAATGTGATTCTATGCAGATCATCAAAAGGAACTATGGGTCTATCTCGTTTCCTTTTGATTGTTACAAACAAATGCACAAAGACATAATATCCTGACCACCTTGTGGTGTAGGGTATAATAATTAAATAAACGGGCATTGACTAAGGGTATAAATCTCTCGTAGAAAACGACGGATACGTTTTAAATTGTTAAAACAAATTTTAAAAATCGTAGATTTTTATCTGCGATGTCCTTAAATTTTTTATAATATTTTCTTCCCTTGGCCTTGAAAATATTCTTCTTTCAAAAATATCCAATACTTTTAAAAAGTCCAGGGTCTTTTAAAATATTTGTCTATGGAAAGTCCTGGATAATTTTTTCTAAAAAATTTCCCATACTTTAAAAAGTCAAGGGTAAATTTACAGAAGTGGGTTTCTTAAAATATTTTTCAATGGGAAGTCCTGAAAAAATACTTTTGACCTTTTTTTGATCCAAGATTCTTAACAAAAATCATGAATTATATGGCTCAGAGGTCCTTAAAAAGGTTTTTTAAAGCTTAATTGTAAAAATTAAAGCAAATTGTAAAAATCGTAGATTTTTATCTGGAATGTCCTTAATTTTTTATAATATTTTTTTCCTTGGCCTTGAAAATATTTTTCTAAAAATACACAATTTTTAAAAAATATCCAATACTTTTAAAAAGTCCAGGGTCTCTTAAAATACTTTTCTATGGAAAGTCCTGGATAATTTTTTTTTTTTTAAATTCCCCATACTTTAAAAAGTCGAGGGTTAATTTACAGAAGTGGGTATCTTAAAATATTTTTCAATGGGAAGTCCTGAAAAAATACTTTTGATAAATCCTCAATAATTTGTCTGTTGGCCCTTGACATTTTTCCAAAACTCAAGGATTTAGATATATGGGAGTTCTCTGAAAATATTTTTTAAAAACCACACGACTCTTGGCCAGGACTTCCTTAAATACATTAAAAAAATCCGTGATACATATAGCGGGAACGCCCTACAAAATATTTTCGTAAATTTACATATCTGAGGACCTTAGAAAATATTTAATTCTCTTGAGACTCTTGAAAACATTGTTTTTAAAAATACACGATTCTTGGCCCGGAAGTCCCTGAAATATATTTAAAAAAAAATTCAGAAATTATATATTTTTTCTAAATCTAAGATTAAACTGTGATTCAAATTACAAATCAAAGATGTACTTAGCAAAAAGTTCATTTAAAAAAATTAAAACAAAAAATTAAGTCTCTTCTACGACAGGTATTCCTTAAAAGAAAAAATCCAAGGCTCTTGGACAGGAAGGCCTAGAAAAATATTTGTCGATATTTTCTTAATTTTATATCTGACAAGTTCTTGAACCTTCTTTTTTTTTTTTTTTTTTTTTTTTTGATCCAAGATACCTAACAAAAATCATGATTTATATGGCTCAGAGGTCCTTAAAAAGGCTTTTTTTCATCCACGATTCATGTACTTGGGCGGTCCTTTAATGATATATTTACAGAATCTAAGAGTTTCTTGAAAATTGTTTTTAAACAATCTAAGACCTATAAAATATAAGTTTAATAAATATCTAAAAACAAGATTTCTTTCTGTTGTGATTTATCAAAATTTTGAAAGCTAAGATACAGGATGAGATAAAAAAATTACAAGAAAGTCAAACGCCATAATTTTTAAATTTTTTTTTTTAATTTTATTGAATGAAAGCAAAAAATGTCGGAAATAGCATCAAATTTTAGAATAAGTTTAGATTTCTTCGAATTGATCACCTTTGGCACGAACTATGGCCTTCAA